GAGGCTCAGTGTGAATGAGGGCTATCCCTACATTTTTAAGTGTTGAGCTAGACCTTAGCTTTGTGGCTCCCTATGAAGTGCCAGCTCTTCCTGAGCAGCCTGACTCCCTGGACCAATTAATTCCTTGCTCGCCTGCTCGCCTTTTATTGGTCTAATAAAAGATATCAAATTCACCCAAGGAACCTTGTCTGCCTATATCCTTAGACCAACATGGCTACAACCTAAACCACTGTAAAATTATAGCACTATAGCACTGGCAAGCATGGGTGACTGGTGCCACCTTAGTCAGGCGGGGGCACATGCCCCCCCAGCAATCAGTCAGTGACCAGGGAGAGTCCCCCGTGGCCAATCGCAAAGTGGCTGCAGCACTCCCACTCCCTGGCCGGTGCTCGTGGGGTGGGGCACCAGCGCTTCCATCTGCCCCCCCTGCCCGTCACCTAAGTGGTGAGTGCAGCCCGTCAGGAGGGTGCACATGCACCCCCTACGCATCGCCACTGCTGGCAAGCTGATTCCGGAAACTAGGAGTTACTTAGAGAGGCGTGTCCTGCTCATAATCTTCCCCCTACACAAATAGTGGTGAAAATGGTCTATGGAGTTTACCACTCAGGAGTTCCTTTGGGGTGACGTGATAGTTTGTTCCAGGAAAGTTAGACTTTGCCTTCAGTAAGCAAACACCTTCTCAAGTTCTTCCTATTTTGTCACAGCTGCTCCCACTTGCATCTGTATGCAAACTGAAGATGTTTTGAAACTGGGTATGCCCAAACAAGCGGAGTTGCAAGAGCTGTGTCGCAGCTTGGAAAAGGCTAGCTCATGGTCTGTGGACCAATGAAATGGGCAGCAACCACCCACCCTGCAGAGTGGGCTTCAAATGTAAGCAAGTCACAAACAAACCTTGTGTAAGAGGAAAGGAGCCCTACAAAATCCAGATATCTCTCACTGCATGCAGAACTGGCCAGTAGGGCTGTGCGAAGCTTTGGTCCCTGATTCGATTTGGATATTCGGCCCAATTCGGTGGTTAAATTTCTGAATCCAAATCGAATCAAAGGACCCTTTAATCTCTCCAAATTGAATTGGAGCCCTCTGAATCGATTCGGAGAGATTCAGAAAGATTTGGATATAGACACAGCTTTAAATGTTTTGTCTACGTACCTCTGGGTAGCAGGGGCTCGTGAGTGCTACAATGCTGGGGTGCATGGAGCATCCCTCAGAAGAG